GAGGGATGTGCTGGCCGCGGCTTCCCGCCGCCCCCATTGGCCCGGGACAGCGAACCGCGGCCAGTGGGGCCGCGATCGGCCGAACCTGCCGTGTCAGCAGGTAAATAAACTGGCCCAGCCCGCTAGGGTGCTTACCCTGGCGAGCCACGTGCCGAACGTTGCCAACCCCTGCTATATGGCATTCTTCCTTGCAGAAAAGTTATTTGCAAATCAGAACTGGAAGCTTTAGAAAACACCTATTCCAGAAAAAACAAAGCTATCCCAAAAGATATCATAATTTTCAGCATTTTCAACAGAAATGCCAAAGACAGAATAAGCATATATACCTATCTCATAGAACTGGAAGGGACCTTAAAAGATGATTCAGTCCAGTCCCCTGCCTTCACTAGCAGGACCGAGTACTGTCCCTAACAGGGTGTTGGTTTGTTTTTGTTTTTTTTTTCCTGATCCCTAAATGGTCCCCTCGTGGATTGAACTCACAACCCTGGGTTTAGCAGGCCAATGCTCAAACCACTGAGCTATCCTTCCCCCAAGCATGTAGAGTTAACTCCCATCTCAGGGTTAGACATAGTTATCAGAGGTAAAAATGTCTGTGCCCTGTATACACACCACTTTCAACATTGCTATTACAAGAGGAGTTGCACTGGTGCAGAATTACATGTCTGATTTGTCCTGATTGTTGGTACCTAGTTTATTGTGAAGGCCCAGACCAGGCAGGATGAGAGAAACAGGTATGGCAACTCTCTAGCCTGTATCTATCATGTGGAAGGACTACAATCTTCAGGGCTGCCAAACAGGCAAGGACCTTTAATCAGTACTAAACATATACTATAAATAAAAAATGAGGTATCATGCTGAGTGCTCCTCTCCCATGAATTGTAGATTTTAAAAAAGATTTTCTATGATGTTATTCATAATGGTATTCAGGATTTTCCCAAATAATCCAGAAAAAAATGCATCTATAAAAACTCAGTCACTCTCTTCTGCACTTCTTTTATAACACAAATGGAGAAGTGAAGGTTGTGGGCAATATTATCTGTAATAGCTGGAATATCCTTAGCAGGAAGAAAAAATGTGATGAACGCAATAGTAAATTACTATAGCTAATACTAGGAGCAGCACGAAAAACATTTACTTCAATCAGTAAACTCAGGTAACCACAGAGGAAAACAGACTTGATAACCTGAAGTCTGAGTAGGGAACCAAGCTTTACATAATTTTAATTCATATTGTACTCTGGAAGGGCAAAAACTATTTTTGCCTACAATTATGTCACAGGTCACATTTTCTGTCTAAAAAGCAATTTTGTCACCTAACTTATTCCAGATAAGGAAGGTTTTACAACTTTGTTTCTATTTTATGGATAAGTAGTTTTAGCTCAATATACACTAAAACAAATCCTGTACTATTGTTTTACCATAACCAGTATCAGTTCTTAGAGAAATTGTAGAAAAATAACTGGATTATGTTACCAGTTGACTTTCCCATCTTTTTAAAATCAGGCAATTTCTTCCTTGTGTTGTCTACTTCTTTACTATGTCCCAGAATACTGTAGAAAAAAAATCTTAACCACTCTGCTTTAAAAAGGTGTGACCCTTCCTGTTTTATGGCATAAAGAAAAAACCTCTATTCTGAAGGGGAAAAAACCCAACAATATCCATTCCTGTAAAAAAAGGGTGTCTGAGGCAGCTGATCTAACTTCACAGTTACCCTGGTAACATTTTGTTTACCTCCTCCACTTGCCATGAAAATTGCCTACAGTTGCCACAGAAAAAAGTCTGTTTTGACAGAACATCAATGGCCATATGTTAGAGTTCCTTTAGCATGATACCAACATTTTACATTGTCACATGCAGCAGATTATCTTGAACAGATTTATACCATTATGCTTTCAAGAATCAAATCCAAAAGAATACAAACTGGTTACCACATTACATGATGGCATAGATTGGCAGATGGTATGCTGCCAAACACAATTTTCCTTCATTCCATTCCATATTGAAAAGTCAAAGTCACATAGATAATGCATCAGAAACAAATATCAAATCAATACTCGTGTTTACATGATTAATTACTTAGCTTCTCAGAAAAGGAAAGTATAGTAACAGTCCTGCAATTAAATCCACACAGGCAGTTTATTACTAAAACTGAACATAATAAATAATGCAGGGAAAAAAGTGGATTCACAGACTTGGACTTGCATTTTAACAGATATGTTTAATTTGCAGCTTTAGGACACCCAGATACTGATTCTCCTCCCAGTGAAATAAATTGCAGGCCTTCCACTGACTTCATGGCAGTGGGATTAGACCCCATGTGATCTTTTTAACAGATTACTTATGCTCAAATACAACATAAACCTAACTATACAATGTCCTTGTAGTCACATATGAATTACTGCATGTTTTTCCAATTCTGGTATAAAATAAATGTTAGATGCACCAAATAATGACAAAATATAAATCTTTTCTCTCCATCCAGATCCTTTACAATTTCAATTAACACTGCTAAAATTGCAAATACATGGACCAATTTAGCCAAAAACAAGCTATTTGCATCCACAATGCACTGGAATCATGAAGCCTTGCACTTGTTTCCAGTTACACCAAATTTACAAATAAACTTAAAGAGAAAGAGAATAAACAAGGACATTAAAAATATAGTCCAACCAAGTCTAATCATCTCAAGTGCTATACAACAAATTATGGATGTCAGTCTCTTAATTATCCCATGAGGCTTTAATAAGATTTAAATACTGTGGAATGACACAGGTAGTAGAGAAGGAAGTTATAGCATTAACATTTTCCTTAGGCATTATTATTTTTATTTTTAGCAAGGAAACAAAACAAAACCAGTGTTAGAACAATTTAAACCAAGATACCCAGTTGATATTCAGATTAGGCAATTATTTGTCCTGTTGACAGGTAACTAATGAGGGGACAGGAAATAGGAACAGTGAGGGGAAGAAGGGGGAGTAGGAGTCTTATCTGTAGCTACCACTATAGATTGTTACACTTTTCCGAACAGCTTTAGTGTTTAATCCCATTAAAAGGGATGCATTATTCCCAAAGAAATGGAGACCATAACAACCACCACCAAAACAACAAAAAAACAAGGGAAGATAAATATCTGGAAGCAGCCAGTTTATAATTTTTATGCAAATACTTTATGCATGAGAAGTTACCAGTGTATCAGTTTAACAAATCACGGAATGTCAGAGAGAGGCACACAAAGCTCCTCAGGATTTCTACAGAAGCTGTACGGCTTCAAAGCGATTTACAAGCACCAGCTGAGCAGAGCTCAGACCCACAGGGAAGTTGTCAGCCAACTTTGGGAACAAGTCCCGGACCAACATTTTCAAACTCGGGGACCTGAAGTTGAGCAACTAACTCCAGAGCTAGCAGCCCGACTTTCAGGCTCCCCAGTCCCTTTGCAGCTAGGGTGCTCGGCGCTGCTACAGCCCCCTGGCCTGAGCGAGGCGCCTTGTCTCGAGCGAGGGGACTCGGAGGGGACGCACAGGGGGCCCAGGGCACGTGGAGCAGGGCTTGGCCAGGCAGTTTGAGAGAGGCGAGGGAGGGTAAACAATGAGGGCAGGGTGCCCCTGGGGAAGGGAGGTCAGTGAGGCGGGAGGCAGGGTGCCCCCGGGGAGG